TCTTTACTATAGCCGCTACTTCAGTCAATCATAGTATAGTGAATTTACGAGCTGTAAGATCCATACATCTAATCTCTCTTGAACAACTACATAGGACTAAGCTCTCCGGTGGCTCATATAACAGAACATCATGAAGAGAGGTTCCTTTCCGTCATCAATCTGCTATCTTGTTATTTAAAATCCTACTCCTCCTGATCAGGAACGCCTTGGCAGGTATTCACTATATTTGGTCTGAACCATTTTAAGAGGAGGTCAGTTTGTTAATTTACAGTCTAGGAATAGAATTGTAATGGCCCTGACAAAATGTGCAGAAGGTCTTAATTTGGATGGAAATAAGAGCATTGGGGGGAAAATCCAGTTGATTGAGCAGGTGGTTTGTGCTCCATGTTACCTTTTGTATTCAACAAGGTAATCTAACTTGAACTGGGTTTGGTGTAAAACATGTTGGCTGTAAAACATGTTGGCTGTAAAACATGTTGGCTGCTTGAGACCAGCTGCTGCAGATGTAGCACAAAGGGATGGGAAAGTACTCTGTCTTGTAAGTATCATGACATATTGGGTGATCCTTTTTACTTCAAAAAAAAGTAAAAACACAGCCCACCCACTTGCGTAAGACTATAAGCACCATTAGGACATAAGTGTCATTTGTCATAGTGGTCTGGTCATTCTAGTGTCCTGTCCTGTCATGTAGATATATTGTTGTGTCTGGTTCGGACTAGGGATGATGAGATTACGCCACGTATATAAAGATAATGAAGAAATCCTATAGTGATGTTAAGGTGTTCAATAACATGGTTTGTCTTACTTAATCGGCACGGGTGGATAATGTCTGGAAAAATAGATGTGAAGGGTCTTTTTCGGCCAAATCATTCAGGGTGGATAATGTCTGGTAAATAGATGTGAAGGGTCTTTTTTGGCCTTCAAAATCTTCAATTTAGTGATCAGTATCATGAGTTAGATATAGATCTACGATGGAAAATGGATAAATCTATTTCCCTTGGTTTGTATTGCATGATCACATTTTTTTTAATTTTTGTTTTTGTTTTGTTTTGTGTTTTTCTCAAATATTTGGTGAAATCGATTCACTTCATTTCACTTTGTAAGTTTTGAAACCTTGCTGTGAAAAGCTGAACGTTAAACCTTGTTAGTGCTGAAACATCAAAATCCTGGAGTTTGTTAATGGGAAAAATTGATTTCCTGACAAATATTTTAAGTTAAATGAAACTAGATTATATTTGGTAACGTTATTCACATTAATTAGTTTAAAATCAACAGTTAGACTAACATTAGTCCAAAACAACAGTGTAAATATGAGGACAGCAGTTAATGCATGGCTTGTAAATATCTCCTCATTGGAAACAGAGAATATGTGTACCATCAGATATGGTAACTACATTTGAAAATGAAAAGAGGAAAAAGAGCCAACACTGGTATGGAATATGGGTAGATTTCTTAGTTGGTACAGTGGCTGAGAACAGATACCCCAAGGTATGCAGGGAGTCCCCCAATGTTGCTGTTAACGTGATAGGGATATCATAGACTAGTGATCACAACATCTACCAGTTTGCTTAAGCTGGTCGATATTGAGATCACTCGTCTGTGATTTCCTTATTACATTGAAAATGGTGAATGTTTGAAAGAGGAAGGTGGTTTAATTATATTATTCAATCAAGTTCAAAGCAAATATCATAATTAAATTTGAAATTCTGTTTCTGTCATTCTTGATTAGAATTTCTGTTTGATTTAGATAATTGTTAAAAACAGTTTTGTCTCACAGATCTGATTAAATGCATGAGTGTGATCCATAACAATGCACTTAACAGGGTGAGAACTTGGCTTCAATACATTTAGCAGATTTCTTGTCCTCATGGACTTTTTGTAATGTTTATACTTTGCCAGGTATATCTGCCTTTACTCAACGATAGTTTTTAATCATCACATTAAAACACTCGGTGAAAATGACTGATTTAGATGCCATTTAGTTGTATATATAGCCGGGAACAGTAACTTTGATCTCACTATTGGACATCTTTACTGTTACTTATCAGACAAAAGGCAACATACAAATAATAAGGATGATCATATTGATGTCAGCTGTCCATCTTCATTATCCAAAAACATAGTTTCTAATTGCAGTAACTTATATTTCTTTCAGTCCTGAAATTCTGTAGGATGATTTATATCTTTTTTTGTTTGATAATCAATGATAAAGGAGGCTATAACTTCAGATCTTATAATGGGAGTTTTCTTCAGCCCATCAAACTCATACTTCTTTTCAGAAAGTGCTTGCGAGGGATTGCTTTACTAGGCCAAAAGTTGAAGGTCAAAGTCATTGTTATTTTAGATAGTAAATCATGTTTTGTGTGAATAAGTGCTTCGAATTCAATAATTTCTTAATACCTAAATATATTTTAATATTCATGACACTCTAGCATCAACTTTTAAACTATAAATGCTTTCAATTCTGTCACTGTTAAAGAGATGCTTTAATCTCCATAAAGTTTTCATCTGATTGTCTCAAAATAATTTGGCCATCAATGATTTCCTGATCTGAAATAAGAGATGACGACCAAAGAGTTGGAAGAAGCATCTTTATGTTACTCTCCAAGTGTGTTGTTTGTCATACAGGTAACATTGTGGCTGTTTGTTTCGACTGAACAATATGTCATGTCATGTTCAAAATGATTTGATGTAAAAAAAAAATTTTTAAATGTGCATGACGTAATATGATTGGAAGTGAAATTTGTATGATTCTTAAAGCAAATCTATTATTTAGTTAAGAATGATGACATTGTGATAATTATGATACTTTTTCCATTAAAGACGACAGAATTTCTTCATTATTTGTTGGGTTAATCACCTCATCAACAGTCAGTGTCAATTTTAGGTCCCCTTATATAGTAGCTAGTAGTCACTGAACATAGGATGCCCATCAAATCCTGTCCAGAGTAACTATTGGGGTAATTTGTCTAGTCAAAGGACACAAACATGACATGGAACGATTATGAAGAGTGTACAATTCCCTAGAACGACGTCCATTTTGTGGGTCAAGGACGTAAATCTAATTGCATTGCATTTAGAGGTGACTTGAGGTGATGTAAGAGTCCTTCCGTAACATAAAATGTACGTCTTATCTTGTATTTTACATAAACAATGGCTTCAACACTGGAATTTTTTAAAACTCATTTGGTTAATAAAATTTTTGAAGTTTTAAGCAGGTATTTAATTTTATATAGTTCTTATGTGTTTTTTTTCATTGTAGTCTATTTAGAGAGTTGAACTGGGAACAGTAAGATCAATAGTTCTGTTGAATTCTTGGCTTAGCGTTTAATATATCATATATAATGAATGTCTCAATCATGCTGTAGCCCGGATATTTACTAAAAAGAATCAATACGCTGTTGTCCACCTAAAGATATTCAAGAAGCAATGTTGCTGTTTGAAACCAAAATAAAAAATGTTTGTGATGTATTTTTCCAAAAAGTTATTTTTTAATACATTTTCATTGATACAAGAATAGGACATACCTATTCTCAAAGTGCAAAGTAGAGAACTTTATATGAGTGTTAGTGTAATTTATTGAATAAGTCTAATAATGAGGTATGTCATTAGCTTTTAAACAAGTGACATATCAAATGATTTCATGAGTTTGATAAATTCCATATGACATCCACAGAAAGGAAAGATTTTTAGCCAAAAGCTCATTTAGCCATTAGCCATTTAGCCGGAAAGGCCAAGTGATCTTATGGCATACCGCGGTGTTTATTGTCCTTCGGTCCGTATGTCAATTTCCCCCCAAAAAAACACTACTAGTCATAAACTACTTTCAGGAATTTTACCAAGTTTTGTCAGAAGCATGCTTAGGGAGATTCGAACAAATTTTGTGTTAATGGTATGTCTCTGCCCCTAGTGTAGGAGGGGCGGTGGCCATTAGGAAAAATATAGCAAATTCTTAAAAATCCTACCATTCTTGTAGAAATGATTGGATTGGACCCAAATTCAGTCTAAAGCATTCATAGGTAAAGGAGAATCAAATTTGGATTTATAAATGTATGCCTTCTGGAGTGCGGCCCAATAGGGGAAATAGAGCAAATTCTTTAAAATCCTACTCCTGCTGCAGGAATAACATGATGATTATAAAATTTAGTCAGAAGCATTGTTGTATGAAGAGGAATCAATTTTACCAGAACAAAAAACATCCAGTGGGACTCTTGTTTTGTCATATGATTTGAATCTGAAAAAAATCTGTAATAGGCAGACTCACTTTGATGGAAATAGATCATTTTTCACTACAGAGGCAATCATGTGATGTCATTAAATGTGACTTATGACTGATGTCACAATAGTGTTATTACACACGTTTGGCATTATCTGTGATAGTGGTATGACATGATACAACAGGCTAGTTATATCATAAATATCTTTTGATGTTCATTGTGTTTGTGGACTCATTCCCACTCATGGTATCTTGAGACGTGGTATACAATTTACTCTAAAACCTAATTGTTTGGGAGAGGAGAAGGAGTAGGGGTGGGGGTGAGATTTCATTTTTAGTCATTTCCTTTTGGCCTTGAGATATTGTACATATTGTACTGTAAAATCCACTTTTTTTGAGGATAGGAGGAGGGTGGAAGTGGGGGGATCATTTCCACTCTTGGCCACAAGATATTGTACATACTGTATGTACTATACAGTCTTTATACTATTATAAAAATGGTTCATTCTGATCAAAGTTTATATTAATGTTTGTATATAGTTACAGATCTTGATTAATTAATACACAGTTGAAGGGAGGTAACTCATAAACAATTTTGAATTAGTCCAATGATTTTTAAGAGATTTATGATTATATTTCACTAACAGTAACTGGGAGATGAAAGCTTTGAAGCATTAGAACATTGGTAAATGTTAAATGCAATTTTTTTTTAATATGTCACAATGCTACTATATATTTTTTTTCCTTTAGGACAGTGTAAAATGTTCCTGTAACAGTGACCAATATGTCGGGTGAGATCCCAGGAGGGCGGAATCCATCAATGGAGTATTCACCAGTGGTTATACGGAAGAAACTCTCTACAGCAGAAGAGAAGCGAAAACAGTTCCGGCACAGTGACAGTGATAGCGAATCGGTGAGTTTGTATGAATGTCCTCCAGAATACGACACAGGACCCTGAGTCCTTCAGAATAGGACACAGGACCCTGAGTCCTTCAGAATAGGACACAGGACACTGAGTCCTTCAGAATAGGACATAGGACCCTGAATCCTTCAGAATAGGACACAGGACCCCAAGTCCTTCACAATAGGACACAGGACCCAAGTCCTTCAGAATAGGACACAGGACCCAGAGTCCTTCAGAATAGGACACAGGACCCCAAGTCCTTCACAATAGGACACAGGACCCTGAGTCCTTCAGAATATGACACAGGACCCATGTCCTTCAGAGTAGGACACAGGACCGTGAGTCCTTCAGAATAGGACTATGAGTTTTTCAGAATGAGGCAAAGAATCCAATTCCTTTAGACACTGGACCCTGAGTTTCTATACTACTCAATGCTAGTTTTCTTCAAAGTAAAATCAATAAGACATATTGTTTCACCTTGTAATAATTTCATTGATAAATTCAATTAAGTATCTACCATATATAGTCGTAAGACAAAAAAAAGGATTAATTTAGTATTGTTTTTGATAGGTACTTCAGGGGTTGTATATTGTTTAATGAGAGGGTATTATATGGGTTAATTATTGAGAGAATATTTAAGGAAATTTTCACTGTATACTTTGATACTGTCTATACTTGATTTCTACTTGTGAATATTGATGATTAATTGTGATCGTTTCATGACTTTGGTCAAAGGAAATTTTACTTTTGGTTTTGAGCCAAATGTAGTTTACTAGTATGTTACATTCTGTACACTGAAATGACTTAAAATTTTATGTTTATGATCAAGAAAATTTTAAGTGGATTTTTTTTTCTTCATTTAATTTGAAAAAAAGAACTCTTCACAGAGTCTACTGATGTAAAATTTTCCCTTCGCTTTTAAGATATATATGCTACTCAGATGAGGTATATAACTTGATAAAAAGGAATACACTCCAAAAAAAAAAAAAAATCGAATAATTGTCAATTTATCTTCTGACTTATTATGACTTATGTTACAAATAGATTTCAAACATGATTTATTTGATAAAATAACTGATTGGTTTGGAAGTTTCAGTTGCACAAGATCCTACTGATAAAATTTTTTGTTAATCAAATATATAAGGTATAACCAACAGAGCAACTTCAAGGGAGATAACTAAATAGCTTGATGTGTTAGTTGACAAATATCCTAAATGCATTCTGGGAATTAATTAATTATCTCTTAATTATGATGTAAGTTAATTCACCAGTTCAGGATCTTTTAAGATGCTATACACCGTACTCAAATTCATAACATATCTGTATTACAAGCAAGGAACATTCGTTTAGTTTAATTTGCAAGTTGAAAATTCACAAAGAATAAAAATGCGATTACTCTCCATTCATGGATTTTTATGTCTTTTTTGTTTGACAGATTTCTGAAAGTTCTGTGGTGTTTTATGATGGTGTGAGTTTAATATGCTGTAGTCATAAAGATGTATTATCATTGTACACATGACTGATATGACTTAATGGTGAATGTAACAAATATTTTTATGGAACTGAAGCATGTGAAATTATATCCCAGAATGATCTGTCATCATGTTTTCTGGTTACATATCACACAGCCGATGATGATTATATGTTCAGAGTACATTTAGTGATCTCAGAAAAAATTAGACACATGTGTAGAAGATGTTCTTTTTACAACCTGATCACAAAATTTTGATCTTTTAAAATTTAATTTGATTTCATTATTTTGTGAATTATCTCACATTATAATTATTACTCTGTATGTAAATTAATATTTTCATTTTAATCTTATAAATTTCATTGTATATGTTGTGAATTTTTTCATTACAATATTTTATTCTATGGAGCATTTATTGTAAGTGTTTGCTCAATTTTGTATCTTATTTCTATGATATAAGACAATATCCTAAATAATTTAACCTTCGTCGAATGTTTTCTTTATGTAATACATTGTTTATCACCAACATAGCTAGATTAATTTGTACCATAAACAAAATACCATTTTATTGCCTTTTCATTCTGCTCTTGAAATATTTTTGTTTGAAAACTCCATAAAAAATATATACATTATTTAAAAAACATTGACAGATATCTATTAGATTTTTTCATTAGTTTAATGGATTATAAAGATCATAGTAACGTTTGATTCATATATGACTTAAGGCTGACAGTGAATTGATTTTTTTATCTCCGGAAATAATATGTCGGTATTTTGGCAGTGACTAGATATGGAGTATGACTCGCTGATGTACTGTGTGAATCGGGATGTTCATTCTATGCCGATTAATTCACTTAAAACTACTGGTGTAGATCAGGATTCTGTAGTGACTTTGTAAATGGAAAATGTCTTGCTGATGTATCGTGAATCTGGTTGTTCATTTTATGTCAATTTATTCACTTAGCTTGTAGTTGTGGACTCGAGAGGATGAGGAAGAGGAAATTACAGCCACTAATGGTTTATAGTTAAGTGTGTTGTTCAGGATTGTGTAAACATGATTTTCTTTTACAGTACACTGGTAAACGTTATGCTGATCTAGAATTCTGAGTGATATAAAGGTCATTTGGTCTAAAGGGCAAGCAGCCTTATCCCATAGATCAGCTTGAATCCATGAAAAATTCAGCTTATGCTGCAACACTTTGCATTCATTGTTATTATAATGCCAGACTTATACTTTGGCGCAGTATCCTTTGTCATTGCCAGGCTTATTCCATGGCAAAGTACTTAGCATCCTTTGGCATTGCCAGAATTAGTCTAGGTCACAACACTAGCATTCTGTGTCATATCCAGAATTATTCTTGGTCACAAACTAGCAACTTTTGTCATCACCAGAATTATTCTAGGTCACAAACTAGTATCCATTGTCATCAACCAGAATTATTCTATTGAACAACACTAGCAACTTTGTCATAACCAGAATTATTCTAGGTCACAAACTAGCATTCTTTGTCATTACCAGAATTATTCTAGATCACAACACTAGCAACTTTGTCATAACCAGAATTATTCTAGGTCACAAACTAGCATTCTTTGTCATTACCAGAATTATTCTAGATCACAACACTAGCAACTTTGTCATAACCAGAATTAGAATTATTCTATTACCAGAATTATTCATCACAACACTAGCAACTTTGTCATTACCAGAATTATTCTAGATCACAACACTAGCAACTTTGTCATAACCAGAATTATTCTAGGTCACAAACTAGCAACCTTTGTCATTGCCAGAATTATTCTAGGTTACAAACTTGCAACCTTTGTCATTTCGAGAATTATTCTAGGTCACAAACTAGCTTTCTTTGTCATTACCAGAATTATTCTAGATCACAACACTAGCAACTTTGTCATAACCAGAATTATTCTAGGTCACAAACTAGCTTTCTTTGTCATTTCCAGGCTTACTCTAGGGCACAATACTCAGCATCCACCCCCTGTCACTCATCCATCTGTAATCTTGTAGGGTAGCTTGCATAGATATTTCTAGGTCATCTGACCTGAAGGGTCATGATGACTTATACCCATTGTGCGTTGTCTATTGTCATCCACTGTGTGCCATGGGCTGTGCGTAAACATTTTAAACTTCTTGTAAAGTTTCTCCAGTGGGATTGAGCTCGAATTGCATGAAATGATCCCGAGATGGTCCTAGCCAAGTGTTGTTATTTTTTGGGTCAGTCTGAAATCCAAGATGGTCGCCATGTTGAAAAATATATCTTAAATTTCTCAAGTTCCACTGGTGCCATTGAGCTAAAGATAGGTAGGAATGTTAAGAAAAGGTAGTTTACAAATTTGTTATTTTTTGACCTTGTTAACACTTTGACATGGCAGTCAGTTAGGCCGTTTTGTAACATGATTGCACAATCATGGTTTTCCTTTGCAACACGTATTTCAAACTTCTCAAAATACACCGATGGGATTGAGCTCTGAAATGATCCTGACCATATGTTGCTATTTGTCAGCCTGATCAAAATTTCAACATGGTTACCACCATAGCCATTTTGTAACATGGATGTGCAACTGTTTTCCATCAACAGAACTGACCATTTTTGAGTTTGATTTGTCTGACCACCATCAGTGAATTCTTTGATTTGTCCATCCATTCATCTATTGTCAGATGACTGTTAAGGGTCTTGTTGACAACGCTTAGTCTGGGGGATTTATTATTGAATGGAAATATTGAAAATTTGTATAGACAATTTAGCTTACCTGGCCTGAAGAGGCAAGTGAGCTTATGTTGTGGTGCAGTGTCAACTTTCCAATTTAAACGACTTCTTCTCAATAACCAGCTTGCCAAATGTCATGATATTTGGCAGGTGGGTTGCTGGGATGAAGTCTAACAAATTTGATGAAAAGCAATGAGCTTGACCCTTATTCAAGGTCACAGGGGTCAAATTTGTTTAAATATTTTAACAACTTCTTCTTACTAATCAAAAGGCACAGAAGCATGGTATTTGGCTGATAGGTTCTTAAAATCCCAACAAAGTTTTTTAAAAGAAATAGCCTTGGCCCTTATTTAAGGTCACAGGGGTCAAATTTGTTAAAACCTTAAATTAACTTCTTCTTACTAACCAAAAGACACAGAAGCATGATAATGAGGTGAGAGGTTCCTAGAATGAACCATAACAATTTGTGAAAAGAAATTACCTTGACCCTTATTAAAGGTGACATGGATCAGATTTTTTAAACCTGTAAAAGATTTCTTCTGGTAAACCAAAAGTATGAAAATAAGATTTGGTGGAAAGGTGTTTGTAGGTCAAAGTCCAACAAATTTGGAGAAAAACAGAACTGACATTTGATTAAAATGCAGGTCATAACTGTCATTGTTATGACTTGAGGATTAGATCTTTGTTTTGGAAATTTGTTAAAATTGATTAGATGTATCTGATGGTGTATATAGCAATATCTTTGTGATATTAACACTGATTCTATGTTTAATGAGTATTGAATACTATGGTGAGTGAACAGGTCCATTGGGCCTCTTCTTTAGGAAAAGGGAAAGATCTGATAAGTATATCACCATCTCCATTATAATATTAAATCACACATGCATGATTATGATCTTGGTTTATTTTTAAAGAAGAACTTATTATTGATCTTTGTGTTTGTATATGAGATGATCATGATGAGTACACACGTATTGGTAACATCTGGTCCATTCACCTATCAGAAAATGAAACCCAGTCGTTGACAATTCAAATACAGCTATATATAGGTTATCAGACATTCTGTGCACAGACCATCAGTATGGATTGATATACAGATTCAATGTGGTCAGCCTTTCTGGATCTCCTGGATTGTGAGGGTTTTTATATTGTGTGCATTTTATATGTAAAGGATGTTGCTTTTGATGATACTAGGGCTGATTTATCAGTTGTGAGCCTCATTTTCAAGTGTGGGACTTTGGCGGTCACAAAGCACCGTCATTAATGGCAGCCATGGCAATGACAGATTTGTGAACAGGGGCATTGTGTAATTGAACAACACACCTTTACTGAGTTTAATATTTTCTCTTAACTGCCTGAAAAGTGATGTGTAATATGTGCCATTGATTGTTTGTCCCTTTTGAAGATAATCTACCATCAGAATACCATTAGCATCCCAGAAAACTGAGGCCATAACCTTTCCAGGTGATGGAACAGTGTTTGTCTTCTTTGGCGGCAGTGAACCAGGGTGTTTCCATTGTTTAGAATGTTGTTTGGCCTCTGGGGTGAAAAGATAGACCCATGTTTCGTCCATAGTCACAAACCTCTGCAGAAAGTTGACAGGCTAAAAGGTTCAGATTAGTCTGTGACAATTTAGTCTGCCGTGTGTACTTCTGATCAACTGTCAAAAACCTGTCATTGCCAGGTCGTCTGTAAGAATGGAATGTACTCTTCCAGGACAGGCGTCATCCCCAAGGCTCTGCCTGCCACACTTAAATTCCACCACCTGGATTTCAGTAGGTGCTAAGCCTTTCTGATGCAAATATTGAATCACTGCTCTTTCAGTGATTTTGTCCATTTTGCAAAAGTCACTTACCTTGTTTGCTTGAGAGTGCTACCTCTACAATATAAACTGACCAGATGACACCAGTCTTCAGGTACACAGCCTTAAATTGTTAAGGAATAGTTGAGCTGAAAAAGGACAACCCTGCTCAGCTTCTTCAAAAAAGGTTCACAACTTATCAATCAACCCTCGTATGACAGTTTTTTAATGTCTGCTAATGTTATTCTTTATTTGGAAAATGATGTAAATAACGTAGTCTTTGTAGTTTATAGAAAACAATAAGAAATTCAGAAACTTAAACAGGACCTGTGCAAGTAAATTCATTTTGAAGAAACATTCTGGTTTTTAGAGATAGAAAATACACTTTTTATATGCCGCTGTAGGCGGTGGTATATTGGCGTCATCTTCTCCGCCGTCCGTCCATACGTCCGTCTGAACGTCCATTTCTTGTGAACACAACTCCTCCTAAACTATTCATCAGATTTTCCTGAAACTTGCTCAATGTCACTTCTACAATGGTTTGATGCGCGTGAAGGGGCGATTTTTCGGTTCTTTGATTTTTGTAAGATTTATGCCATTTTCAACTTTGTATCTGTAGCTTGCTTTTAGTGGAGCTTTGTGAACGCAACTTCTCCTAAACTAATGATCAGATTTTCAAAAAACTTGCTCAATGTCACTACTACAATGGATGGATGTGCTGGAAGTGGCGATTTTACGGTTTTTCTTGATCTTTATATTTTGTGGTGGCGAAAACTGTGTCCACGGCACTCTTGTTTTTTGTCATGAAGGTAAGATATTTGTAGAAGATCTAATTTCCTGTGTATCATCAGAATGCTGGTAGTTCAGGAAACTTTTATAGGATTAAATGTACAGACTCTTTATCTAACAAACACTTTTCTCACCTGTCTTGTCTTTTTGTTCTTTTTGATATCTTGTCATTGAATATTTTGGCCTTGGTTGTTCAAAGGCAGGTTAAGGATATATTGGCGATGTGATTGGTCGAAATTTAAAAGCAAATCAACAATCAGCAATGTAAAACATACGCTTCCGTGACGATCAATTTTTGCAATTTTCCAATAAATCACTATCTCCTGGACACTTGATGTCATGGATTATTATCGCTTGATAAATCTTTTTACGTTAATTTTAACACTTTGTTGTCGTATGAATTTCTGGATGAAGCGGTCCAAATCAATGAAAATAAATTCTCCTCGATTATTAATGATGTTAATTAATGTAATTCTGGGTGATGATCTGTGTACATTGCTATCTGTTCCAGTTCCTATACCTACATGCTTCCTGGTCTAAGTTATTGTTCTAAATAGTGTTTTTGTGGCGCTCCACCACAGTGTTTGTCTTGGAGGAACTTGATTTCTGTCACTCCACCACAGTGTTTGTCCTAGAGGAACTTGATTCATGTCACTCCACCACAGAATTTGTCCTAGAGAAACTTGATTTCTGTCACTCCACCACAGTGTTTGTCCTAGAGGAACTTGATTTCTGTCACTCCACCACAGTGTTTGTCCTAGAGAAACTTGATTCATGTCACTCAACCACATTGTGTGTCCTAGAGGAACTTGATTTCTGTCACTCCACCACAGTGTTTGTCCTAGAGAAACTTGATTTCTGTCACTCCACCACAGTATTTGTCCTAGAGGAACTTGATTCATGTCACTCAACCACATTGTGTGTCCTAGAGGAACTTGATTTCTGTCACTCCACCACAGTGTTTGTCTTGGAGGAACTTGATTTCTGTCACTCATCCAAAGTGTTTGTCCTGGTGGAACTTGATTTCTGTCACTCCACCACAGTGTTTGTCCTAGAGAAACTTGATTCATGTCACTCAACCACATTGTGTGTCCTAGAGGAACTTGATTTCTGTCACTCCACCACAGTGTTTGTCCTAGAGAAACTTGATTCATGTCACTCCACCACAGAATTTGTCCTAGAGAAACTTGATTCATGTCACTCCACCACAGAATTTGTCCTAGAGAAACTTGATTTCTGTCACTCCACCACAGTGTTTGTCCTAGAGGAACTTGATTCATGTCACTCCACCACAGTATTTGTCCTAGAGGAACTTGATTTCTGTCACTCCACCACAGTGTTTGTCCTGGAGTGACTTGATTTCTATCTCTATTACACAGGAATACCGCTTTTCTCCTTAATTTTTCAGAACTGAAATCCTATTAGTGCTAAAAAAGAAAAAAAGAAGGAACAAAAAAAGATGTACGGTTATGGCAGATGAAGTAACTCTGCTTTAACAAAGCATGTCTGTTATACAGTACTATAAACCCCAACATATAACGTTGACATGTCATAAATAATTTGATATTAAAAATCTTGTTCTCAGTGTAACAATTTTAATGCAAGATGACAGTAAGTGATAAGCATACAACACAGGGTTTTGAGAGATGCAGGTCGATGAGAATGATTATGAAGTTTTATAGTTGACATAATGACTTCTATGTCCTTATGTAACACGAAGTTGGATGTGTTTGTGGCTTATTAGTATATCTATTGATTCCATTGATGTTTACTATGGTCATAAGGGAATGTGACATTATTTACTTTGGTTACCTGAGATTAAAATAGAATATGCTTACTCTTCTGGAACATCTGGGCCCGTATTCATGAAACCGTTCTCATGCTCAAGCATGAATTTTGTGCTCAAGCCTTATGCCTTGTTTAAGTTAAAAATTAATAAATGAGACTGATTTTGACAAAAGATTTTAAAAAATTTCAAAGGACTTCAAGTCAAAGTTATATTCAATGTTTATATTTGACATTTGTATTATTTTATATAATTTAGGTGAATCATCAAAAATTTGCTTGAGCACAAAATCAATGCTTGAGCATGAGAACGGTTTCATGAATAAGGGTCTTTTTCTTATTGTACTTTCAGGAGTCACCATGTAAATCTTTTCTCTTATTCATATTTTGCCCTAGTTTTATTGGATTTGTGTTTGGATTATAACGATGCTGACATGTTGGTAATTTCTTTGTTATTCCTGAATAGAAATTTAGATCTTGTGTTCTATGATAATTGAAGGCTACTTACAGTGCATACATTGCAGAATAGGGGATTGTCTTTTATGTTTTCAACTCTGAGAGACATTGTGGAGACCAAAATAGACCTGCTTCCACAGTTCAACTCTAGGGATCTTTATTTTATACTTTCTTTCCTGTCGTCTCTTTTCTCCTGTGCTTTGTTTTCCATTTGTGGTGTTCCTGTTATTACTGGGTTGGTGTTATACGACCCTTGTTGTTGTTAGGGTATTAGATACAGTAAAACAAATGACCCAGTAATTTAAAGGTTGGAATACCAACATATGGATTCTGAAGTTTATTGATGATTTACAACCTTTTACAAATTTAAGCACCAAGCATGGTTAACAAATCAACCTTAACATTAAACAGTTTATATAACAATCAGCTAAGTTTGTCATACAATATCTGTCTTTTCTGACATGTATAATTGGAAGGTCATCCTGTAGAATATATTGATAAGATATCACAAACACTGAAGTCTTTTGTCTGCATAATTTTGTAGATATGCTTCACACTGTAATGTGATCTAAATATACAAAAACATTTTGGCTTAAAGACGTATTTGGCAGTTGTTAAGCATCAAAGAATAAGCTGTAGTTGAATTAGATTTACAGATAAATTTTGAAATAGCTGCTAGCATTAAAAGAGGATTACCGTTATCAGAATCTGGCCCCAATCTTAGAAATAAGAAAAGTCAAAACAAAATAATAAAAAAAAGAATGAAATTGCCGATTAGATGTCTTTAAAAAAACACATGTAATTTTATTTTGTAAGAAGAATGTGAGAAAAAGAAAGCTTTTTGTGTCGCTCTTCGATAATAAAAAGAAAGGTGCAATGAAAAACTGTGACAGTTATTCAATGTTATGTCTGCCTGTAAAACCATAAACCACAATAACTTGATATGGTACACACTCCTAAAGTATGCCTCACTCTTTCCAGGATAACAGCGACGATGAAATATCACTGGCTAACTCCCAAATGGAAACAAGTTCTAAAAAGGACCTGGAGAAAACACAATCATCTACCAAATCAACACCTGCCAAAGGTCGTAAACGTCGTAAACAACGACATGACTGGGAGATTGTAGAGGGCTTACGGGACGGTCACCGTTGTGAGGAAAAACCAGAAAAGTACCAAGGCTTCATGCTAAAGCGTAGGCGATGGCCAATGAAGGGCTGGCATAAGGTAAATTGATTTCGTCCTTATTACATTTCCACATCTCCTGTTGATTCTGATCAAGATTTCCTCTCTTGATCAAACAATCATGCTTCAGGCCAGTTAATGGTAAAGCTTCATAACAACCATTCACTAAGTTTCGAATTTTCCAAAAAAGTCTTTTCGCTGCTTATTATTGTTAGGTCATCTTTTCAAATGGACTGTTGTGTTTTTGTTGTGTGTCACCAGTGTTGTCTGTCAGTTCATCTGTCAAATTTTTAGCCCACCATTATCAGATGGTGGGCTTTTCAAATCGCTCTGTGTCCATGGATTGTCGTCCATCCCACCGTCAGTAAACAATATTTGTTATCGCTATTTCTTGAGAAGTACTAATTGGATCTTTCTCAAATTGCATATTTATTTTCCGTTTGGTTCCTACTTGTGCTCATTCGAATGAAAACAAAATAGATGTCAGGCAGCCATCTTGAATTTTTTCAATGAAGATTGATATTGCTAATTCTTGAAAAGTAAGAGATGGATCTCTCTCAAATTTCATATGTAGATTCCCCTTGGTCTCAAATTTTGCCAGTATAATTTTGGGACTGGTCAGAAAAAAAGGTGGCCAAAAGGGGGCCATCTTGGATTTTGACTTTGGAAGTTTGTTATTTCTATTTCTTGAGAACTACTCATTAGATCTTTCTCAAATTTCATGTATACATTCCTTTAGGTCCCTAGTTGTGCCTGTTTGAGTGTGGGACTGATCTGAAATACAAAATGGAAGACAGGCCGCCATGTTGGATTTTGCCTGGTCAAGCTTGTTATTCTATTTCTTGAGAACTGCTCTTTAGATCTTTCTCAAATTTAGTGTATACATTACTTTAGGTCCCTAGTTGATCCTGTTTGAGTATGGGACTGATCATAAAAAACAAAATGGCCGACAGGCCGCCATGTTGGATTTTGCCTGGTAAAGATTGTTATTGCAAATTCTTAAGTACTGAATGGATATCTCTCAAATCTCATACATATGTTCCCTTTGGTCTCTCCTTGTGCTCCTTTGATTTTTGTACTCATGAGAAGAAACAAAATGGCTTCCAGGTGGCCATTTTGGATATGGCAAGTGAAGATTTTCATGGGTATTTCTGCAAAGCAATGTTTAAATGTTTTATCATCAATAGCAAAACCACAGAAGAGAAAAGAAGGGAAATATCCAACTTTCAAAGAGCATATAAAGATCAAACAATGGTGGGCACCAAGATCCCTCTGGGATCACTTGTTATAAAATGTTTCTTATCAAGTACACCTTAATATAGATTTTGACCGTATTTGGTCAAGACCATCATTGGGTAATGGAGATACAGTTCTGTTTAACGGATGGGTTGAGGTTTGGGGCCCAATAGGGGAAATAAGATTTGGATAGGACAGAGGGTTTGGGGCCAATAGGGGAAATACAGGTTAAATCAGATGAGGAGATTTTAATCCTTTTTCCTTGAGCATTCTTTTAACTTTATACTACCTTAATTTTGAGAAAAAAAAGGGTTTGTCATGATTACTGAATATCGAGGTGAGTGAAGCAAGCCATTTGGGCCTTTTGTTTGGGCTGTTTGACCATGAAAGCATATAGAGACTAACAAAGTTGATGTGGCTTTCAGAACTTTAATTCTGTACGAAGTGACTCACAGACAGTAGAGTTTTGTTTTTCTTCAGTTGTTATTTCAGTAATGCTTCTGGGTCCTTGATGAACTGTCTGTGAATCAGGTGTACTCTGGTTTATAGATGGGATTGGATCTGCATGCTCTTCAGTCGACAAAAAAGTCCAGTTTTCTTGCTTGTTCTCCCTTGATGGTCATATAACTACCACCACAGATAAACAACATTGATTCTGTTTGCTTGGCTGCAGAATCACAAAAATTCACCACGACAGGTGGAGTTATTTCAAGGATTTCAAGCATGATGATTAACCAATAATCTATTTTTGGCCTTTTTTAATTGATGATTAAAGACCTTTTTGTTGGCTAATAAAGTATGTTAAAGTTAGAACTCCGTTGAAAAATTCAATTTATCATTAACAGTAAGAGTTCTTCGAGCCAGCTTTGGTCAAAGAACAAGGCTTTTCCTCTGATCGCATTCATTCTTGCTAAATATGGTTGTTTCCGGCTGATAACCAGTCCTATGTTCTTAAAAAAAAAAATTCTAAATCCATATTTCCATTAAAAAAATTCAGGATGTCTCAGGGAAAATTCAGCAGACATACTAATTTTTCCATTGTTGTTACAAGTTTTGTGGTCATCAATTAAAAAATAAAAAAAAAATAAAAAAAAAAAAAAAAAAAAAAAAAAAAATCAAATTTGCTAAAACCTTAAAATGCTAAGATACAGAAGCATGATATTTAATATGGCTGTTCAGTGCTTAGAATAAAGCCAAACAGTTTGAGAAAAGAAAATACTTTAAGGTCACAAGTAGAATTTGTAAAACTTTTAAACATCTTCTCTTCACCAACCAAAAGGCCCAGAAACATGATATTTGGCGGCGATGAACCTTGATAAAGTTTTGGGAAAAGAAATTACATTGAACCTTATTCAAGTTCACAGGGGTCAACTTTGTCAAAACCTGTAAAAGACTTCTTTTGGTCAACCAAAAGTATGAGAAGCAGAATATCTGGTGGAAAGGTGATTTATATCGAATCCCGACAAATTTTAAGGAAAACAGAAAAAAAGAGGCTGACATTTATTTAAAATTCAGGTGATAACTGTCATTGTTTAGAATGGAATGTTAGAAGCTTCGGTTTGTTGTGGAAATTGGTTAAAATTCATTGAATGTGCCCACTTAGAATTTCAGTGACATACGTGTTAATATAATTGTGCTGAATATTTATTGTAATTATTAGGAACATTTAATATCATGTGAGAGGCCCAGTGGGCCTCTTGTATTGCCATCTAAATGTATTTTTTGTAAACAAAAATTGCATTTGAATGTCTTCTTTGTTTCTTGTTTTACCTGTGGTGTGTTCCATTTGTAAACACTTCAAAATTTGTTTATTTCAAAACATTATATTTGTTTTTTGCAGCGGTTTTTTAACCTGGACAAGGGATTCCTTCTGTATTCAAAGTCCCCGTTAGATGTGAGTATGACCCTACTTACATGGCAGATATGCATGTATCTGGTACCTTTATGATATACAACACTATGGCAACAATTTCCTCAGCTTAAAGAATTTTATTATCTTTCATTCTTCCAATGGAAAAACATAACAGTTATTTGGGTCTGGCCATGTTATATTCAGTTACAATGTTATCCAGTCTAGTATCTGAGTCTATTAATGAGTTACAATGTTATCCAGTCTAGTATCTGAGTCTATTTAATGAGTAACAATGTTATTCAGTCTAGTATCTGAGTCTATTTAATGAGTGACAATGTTATCCAGTCTAGTATCTAAGTCTATTAATGAGTTACAATGTTATCCAATCGAGTATCTGAGTCTATTAATGAGTTCGATGTTATCCAGCCTAGTATCTGAGTCATTTTACAATGTTATTCTGTCAAGTAATTGAGTCTATTTAATCAGTTACAATGTTATCCAATCGAGTATCTGAGTTTATTTAATGAGTGACAATGTTATCATGTCTAGTATCTGAGTCAATTTAGTGAGTTACAATGTTATCCAATCGAGTATCTGAGTCTATTTAATGAGTTACAATGTTATCCAATCCACTATTTGAGTCTGTTCAGCTATATAAGTAAGTTGTGTTCAAACTATGAGTTGCCTTGAAATTCCTACAACCAAGTATATAATGCCTTGTCAGTATAGGAAACAATCACATGCTAATTTTGTACTGTGTTATTAATGGACTATTCAGAGAAGTTGATATTCTTATCTCCCCTCCCTAAAATGGATGTAAGCATGTAGTGCCATATCTTTTGATATTTGGTATTTTGTCAGTCGTTATCGGAGCAGTTGAAGCATTTATGAAAACCTATGGGCATAAGGATAAGGTCAAGAGGTCAAAGTTTCTAAAATTTAACCTTTGTTTTAGCAATAATGTTTTGAAAAGTTGATTTTAGGAAGTAATTTCAAAGCAAAGCTGAAATGTATTAGTGTGTTCCTATTTTGCTATAGACATCAGAATGTGGTGAATTCATATTATTCATTTTCAAATGATCCTCATATTTTCCAATAATGAGAGACATTCTTTCTTATTTTTGTGGAAGTATTTTTATTTTTTAAGACTTTTCATCAAAATTTGCTAGGAAGGTACTGAGATAATAAGAAAAATATTGATATGAAAATGCTTAAATATCATTTGATTTTGTGAGCTTTGCAAAACTGCACAGCACCAAAAACATGATGATTTTGAAAAATACTATTGGACAGTGGTCTGAAAATGAAAAGGGGGTCTTTGTGCTTAGTTTTTTTCCACCCTAAACCCTATTTTGCCATAATCAAGGAATAAAGTGGAAAATTAAAAATCTCAGAAAGTGAATCACATGTTTCTTCAAATGTTTGTTATGTTGTAAAATTTCATACAAAATTTTATTGAAATCTGTCAAAGGCTTCAGGAATAATTATACTAAAGAGAATTTCCTTAGTAACAGAAGAATGTTGACATTGTTGACACTGATAACCAAATCAACTACACCATCACAGAATTAGTTCACAAGCTGGCATCCTATCAATGAAATCTGTCGAAATCTTCCAGGAGTAAACTAACTCATAGCCATTGTAACCAATATATATCTAAGGCACTTGTTACTGTTAAATTTGCATCCACCTAACTGATAGAAAATCTGCTAACATGATGTACAGTAAACAAACTCTCTGTTATCACCCACTCCACCGTAAGTGGAGAGTGTAATGCCTCGACGAGGATTCCAACCCAGGACCTCTAGTTTACTAGTTTAAAGTTCAACTGATCGAGCTAGCCGACCGGTATATCTTAGCTAGTATTTTGCTCGGGTTACATACTCTCCTCCAGGGAAAAAGTCGTCCTCGAGTTTCCAGGGATTACAGTGATGCTTGTGAAAGTAACACTATATATCATTGCCTAAGTGGACACCAAATCATGTAACAGAGGTCATTATTTATTTCAATGCCTCCACTAGGATTTGAACTCCGGACCTCTGGTTTACTAGTCTGACATTCAACCGATCCAGCTAAAGAGAAGTTCTCTCTTGCCAAGCGATATAGTGCAGCTAGTATTTTACCTAAGTTACATAGTTAATTCTCAGTCATTTACAATAGATCTTAAACTGACTGTATCTACATATATATATGTTCATACATCCTCAGTCTGTCACTGCTGTAACAAGACAAGTATTTGTAGAGAAAACATCCCGACAGACATCAATATTATGTAATGCTCTATCAACTCTTCCTGTATTCCAAAGTTCAAATCTACAACTGAAGGCCCATGTGTATTTGACAAATGAGTGTTATTTACTTTTGTGTCTTTTGCAAATCCTTTCATGACATTTAGCTCTTTGGTTTTTTGGAAGGAACAGTTGAAGAAACCTATTTTGTGTTGTCAGGTTAAGTGAGTGTTACAAAGATGAGAACAACACACAGTTTAATTGTTAATGAGCTAAGAAATGGAAATATGCAAATGGCAAACCTCATGTTGTCTTCAATGTCAAGTTAAAAATGACTGAAACACCTCTGTTATGTGTTTAGAATTGGGAATTAGCACGAACTGTTTCTTCGGTAAGTACAAGACGCAGCATGGCTACAGTTGTTCTACTTGTTACGTTTCTGTTAGCCTAACATATCACTTCACATTACAAAGCTTGCTTGTTAAATACTTAGTCAATTACACAACACCTAGTTTACACAGTTTGGATCATTTACAGTAGAAAAATTCCTTCTTGATGTCAGTGATGGTTTCATCAACTACATTTTCATATTTCAAGTTTTCTTTCCAATTTTTTTTTTTTTTTTTTTTTACAATATTGTATTTTAGATAACATATACTTCAGTTTAGTTATGTCCCCCTAATCAATAGTAATTAAATTTACATTGGGAATATTAAGGAAGGGAAGTGGACACAATGTCATTTTTCAATCTCTGTTGGGAATGTTAAGGAAGGGAAGTTGACAAAATGTCCTTTTTGATCTCTGTTGGGAATGTTAAGGAAGGGCAGTTGACAAAATGTCATTTTTCAATCTCTGTTGGGAATGTTAAGGAAGGGAAGTTGACAAAATGTCCTTTTTCAATCTCTGTTGGGAATGTTAAGGAAGGGAAGTTGACACAATGTCATTTTTCAATCTCTGTTGGAAATGTTAAGGAAGGGAAGTTGACACAATGTCCTTTTTTCATTCTCTGTTGGGAATGTTAAGGAAGGGCAGTTGACAAAATGTCCTTTTTCAGTCTCTGTTGGGAATGTTAAGGAAGGGCAGTTAACAAAATGTCATTTTTCAATCTCTGTTGGGAATGTTAAGGAAGGGAAGTTGACAAAATGTCCTTTTTCAATCTCTGTTGGGAATGTTAAGGAAGGGAAGTTGACACAATGTCATTTTTCAATTTCTGTTGGGAATGTTAAGGAAGGGAAGTTGACAAAATGTCCTTTTTCAATCTCTGTTGGGAATGTTAAGGAAGGGAAGTTGACAAAATGTCATTTTTCAATCTCTGTTGGGAATGTTAAGGAAGGGAAGTTGACAAAATGTCCTTTTTCAATCTCTGTTGGGAATGTTAAGGAAGGGAAGTTGACAAAATGTCATTTTTCAATCTCTGTTGGGAATGTTAAGGAAAGGAAGTTGACAAAATGTAATTTTTCAGTCTCTGTTGGGAATGTTAAGGAAGGGATGTTGACACAATGTCCTTTTTCAATCTCTGTTGGGAATGTTAAGGAAGGGAAGTTGACACAATGTCCTTTTTTCATTCTCTGTTGGGAATGTTAAGGAAGGGCAGTTGACAAAATGTCCTTTTTCAGTCTCTGTTGGGAATGTTAAGGAAGGGATGTTGACACAATGTCCTTTTTCAATCTCTGTTGGGAATGTTAAGGAAGGGAAGTTGACACAATGTCCTTTTTTTCATTCTCTGTTGGGAATGTTCAGGAAGGGCAGTTGACAAAATGTCCTTTTTCAGTCTCTGTTGGGAATGTTAAGGAAGGGCAGTTGACAAAATGTCATTTTTCAATCTCTGTTGGGAATGTTAAGGAAGGGAAGTTAACAAAATGTCATTTTTCAGTCTCTGTTGGGAATGTTAAGGAAGGGCAGTTGACAAAATGTCATTTTTTTCATTCTCTGTTGGGAATGTTCAGGAAGGGCAGTTGACAAAATGTCCTTTTTCAGTCTCTGTTGGGAATGTTAAGGAAGGGAAGTTGACAAAATGTCCTTTTTCAATCTCTGTTGGGAATGTTAAGGAAGGGAAGTTGACACAATGTCATTTTTCAATCTCTGTTGGAAATGTTAAGGAAGGGAAGTTGACACAATGTCCTTTTTTCATTCTCTGTTGGGAATGTTAAGGAAGGGCAGTTGACAAAATGTCCTTTTTCAGTCTCTGTTGGGAATGTTAAGGAAGGGCAGTTAACAAAATGTCATTTTTCAATCTCTGTTGGAAATGTTAAGGAAGGGAAGTTGACAAAATGTCCTTTTTCAATCTCTGTTGGGAATGTTAAGGAAGGGAAGTTGACACGATGTCATTTTTCAATTTCTGTTGGGAATGTTAAGGAAGGGAAGTTGACAAAATGTCCTTTTTCAATCTCTGTTGGGAATGTTAAGGAAGGGAAGTTGACACAATGTCCTTTTTTCAATATCTGTTGGGAATGTTCAGGAAGGGCAGTTGACAAAATGTCCTTTTTCAGTCTCTGTTGGGAATGTTAAGGAAGGGCAGTTGACAAAATGTCCTTTTTCAATCTCTGTTGGGAATGTTAAGGAAGGGAAGTTAACAAAATGTCATTTTTCAATCTCTGTTGGGAATGTTAAGGAAGGGCAGTTGACAAAATGTCATTTTTCAATCTCTGTTGGGAATGTTAAGGAAGGGAAGTTGACAAAATGTCCTTTTTCAATCTCTGTTGGGAATGTTAAGGAAGGGAAGTTGACACAATGTCATTTTTCAATCTCTGTTGGAAATGTTAAGGAAGGGAAGTTGACACAATGTCCTTTTTTCATTCTCTGTTGGGAATGTTAAGGAAGGGCAGTTGACAAAATGTCCTTTTTCAGTCTCTGTTGGGAATGTTAAGGAAGGGCAGTTAACAAAATGTCATTTTTCAATCTCTGTTGGGAATGTTAAGGAAGGGAAGTTGACAAAATGTCCTTTTTCAATCTCTGTTGGGAATGTTAAGGAAGGGAAGTTGACAAAATGTCCTTTTTCAATCTCTGTTGGGAATGTTAAGGAAGGGAAGTTGACAAAATGTCCTTTTTCAATCTCTGTTGGGAATGTTAAGGAAGGGAAGTTGACACAATGTCATTATTCAATCTCTGTTGGGAATGTTAAGGAAAGGAAGTTGACAAAATGTAATTTTTCAGTCTCTGTTGGGAATGTTAAGGAAGGGATGTTGACACAATGTCCTTTTTCAATCTCTGTTGGGAATGTTAAGGAAGGGAAGTTGACACAATGTCCTTTTTTCATTCTCTGTTGGGAATGTTAAGGAAGGGCAGTTGACAAAATGTCCTTTTTCAGTCTCTGTTGGGAATGTTAAGGAAGGGCAGTTGACAAAATGTCATTTTTCAATCTCTGTTGGGAATGTTCAGGAAGGGAAGTTGACAAAATGTCCTTTTTTCAGTCTCTTTTGGAAATGTTAAGGAAGGGAAGTTGACAAAATGTCATTTTTCAATATCTGTTGGGAATGTTTAGGAAGGGCAGTTGACAAATTGTCCCAGTCTAATCACACTCATGTTTCCTTGAACCATATCTATTTTAAACTTTTTCTGCAGTTTTCTTAGAGGGATTGAATTGAAACTCACCTTAAATGATTCTGAGATAGTCCTGACCAAATGTTGTTATTCTTTGGTAGTCTAAATCCAATATGGCCATTCCCACCATTTAAGAAAACACATTTGAACCTACTTCTCAAATTCCACTGTTGACTATTGGTGTAAAATTAGTGATAATGTTAAGGAAGGGAAACAGAAGTTTTACATGGCTGCTGTAGAGACCATATTTATAACATGACTGCCCAATCATGTTGTCTCTTTATGACACCAATTTTAGATTTTAAGTTTTACCCATGGGATTTTCCGGAAATAATCCTGAGATGGTCCTAAACAACAAATGTGTGATTGTTTTCATGTTGGTCCAATATCCAAATGGCAGCTTGGTCAGCAATCTTAAAAAGAAAATTCAAACTCTTCCCTAGTTCCACTGATGCCATTGGTCAGAAATTTTCTGGGAATGTTGAAAAACTGAATTGTGTGGTTTTGCTTTAACTACTAAAATATTCTAAACTGTTTTACTCGATGAACTGTTCCCATGACAACTACTATTGTCACCAGTGTTTCATAGGAAATCTGTATAGTCAGATGAGCGTTTATTAACATGTCTTTCTTCTTAATCACTCTCAAAAATAAGGCAGGCTACCCTACGTAAAAATGAAGTAAAATGGAATCATTGACGGGACAGTTTCAGGTTTGAGGGATCCAAGGCCACTTTGTGGTCAGTAGTTGAATTCTCTTCATAAATAACTTCATAATAAGCTACAAAGGGAATTAAGTCAATCTTCAATAGTTGAATTCATTTGATTTATCACAAGTCAGATTTGATTTACCACAAGTCTGAAGGAGTTGGCCTTATCCTGGTCGAAGCTTTATAAATTATCATATTCACTGATTTCTGATCTGAATCTTTCCACAGCAGTCATTTACATTAGATTTTTATTGTAAGTAAACTGTTATTTTGTAGTTAAACAGATTCACACTGTTTAGATGGTCCTGCTTTGCAATGCCTAATCACTTGAAGTTTTTCAGTATTCTTGTCTTGCTGTAACTGAAGACGACAAGTATGACTTGAAGTCTTAACTGTCCATAATGTCTGCAATAGATAATTTTTGCAGAATGTATATTTAGTACTTTTGAATTTTGATGAGTTTTGGAACTTTGACATTTGAGAATTTCTAACTGACAGGGATGAACACATATGCATAAACTGCAGAATTCTTATCTCTTAAATGGGTCAGATTGACTGAAATTTCAAAAATCTTCTTCTCAGTACCCAGACAAAGTAGAACCAAACACTCTTCTTGGATGAAAGTTTCTTATGGTGCTGAACATTTTTGAGCATAATTTGTTTATTTTCTTTTAGAAACAGTTCAAACTTGGTTTGAATCATTACTATTAGCTGACATTTTGATGAGAAGCACAAACTGACCATGGCTGACCCCCAAGGGCTGATAGACAGGACCAAAAAGGGGTCAAATTGAAATTTCAAAAATGTACTACTGTTCCTGAATGGAAGATTTTATATAGAATAAACCAATTTTTGAGTGTAATTTCTTTTAATTCAAATTTGGTTAGACGCCTTAGCATGGAGCAGCAGTTGATGTTATGCACAGTTTACGTTTGCATTATGTGTACAATATGGTTAAAGTTAATTTACTTTTTTTAACAAAATCATTTCTATGTCATTTACAAGAAGCATGGTGACTATGATGACTATTAAGGCCCTTGGGCCTCTTATTGTCAAAATACAATTCATTGACTGTGTCTGGTTGTGTTGTCAAGGTAGAATTCATTGACAATGTCTGGTTGTGTTGTCAAAGTAGAATTCAT